GTATCTCAGGGGGTTGCAGATGGCAACGTACCGATCAAACGCCATGGCCAGCAGGATGCCCGACTCAGCGATAAAACTCAAATGGATGAAGAATATCTGGGTGAGGCAGGCAGCAAAAGAAATTTCCCCTGCACCGAACCAGAACACGGCCAGCATCTTGGGCACTGTGGTGGTGGATAACAGCAGATCAGCAGCAGCCAGCATGGAGAGGAAAAGGTACATGGGCTCATGGAGGCTTCGCTCTGTCGCTATGATGTAGAGGAGGAGAGAGTTCCCCAGAAGCACCGCAATGTACATCAGACAGAAGGGGATGGCGAGCGAGACCTGAGACTCCTCCGTACCCGGGAATCCGGTCAGGATGAAGGTGACGGGGGTAAAAACGCTGTGATTGTCAGCTGGCATCATGCACCGTCCTCTGCAGTTTCTATTCCGTTTCTAGGAGCTAACACGGAAGAGAAAATCAGTGAGACCTGGAGGGGCACCGGGGGACCGACTCAGAGACACCAGCAAAAACGTCTTTGTGCTGCCTGTCGGGTGTGAACAGGAAATCTACACACACTCCCCTGCTGCGGATCATCCCCATGCCCCAGGGGAAGACACTTGGGATATTTATGGCCCCTGGGGTGAGCAGGGAGCCCATCCATGGTTCCTCTCTACAGCACAATCTCTCCTCTGCCGGTTGCCTGCAGCCCTGCTCCGGGCTCAGAGGGTGACTCGGGAAGTGAGCGAAAGCAGCCACGGGACTGGTTCTTCATCCAGCTCCTCCGGTGTTAAGCTCCGCACCGCAGAGACACTCCCCGTTCAGAACGGTGTCCGAGCAAATCCGTTTTCATCGACACTCGTCCTCCTGCCCCCTTCAGGCGCTGAGGCCTCGATCCGAGCCACAAGGAAGCGCTGAAACGAGGAAAGGAGCAAAGTTTGTTCCAAGATTTGGCCCTAAAGATGTCGACAAATCTCACCTACAGGCAGACCACACTGCACGGCTGTACTGGGACAACTTGGTTGCTCAGGGGTGTGAAAATCCCCCCCGAGTGACGCGATTACACCAGCCCAGCCCCCGTGTGGACACAGCTGCTGCCTGTGTGGGAGCGGGATTAACGACGCAGAGGGGAGAGATGTCTGCCGGAGCCAGGGGGTTCTTCCTTAGGGCTCCGGGTCGCAGCAGGCAGCTCTGTCAATGCAGCATTTTACCGGTAGAGCTGCCCCCGGCCCGGCGCCAGAGAATTGCCGCGGGAGGAGGGGGCACGTCGGGCTCACCCAGCCCTTGTCATCGGTGGCCCCTAAGCCCCACAGTGGGACAGTCCCAGCTCTGCGCCTACGCCCAGCTGATCTCTACAGCCCCCCCTCTCCACCTGGTTACCTTCTTCAAAAAGAAAAAAAAACCTTTGCCTACAGACACTGGTTACAAAATGTTTCCCCGGAATCACAACACACAGGCTGTGTCTAGCCTGACCAGTTTTTCCAGAAAATCAGCCGCCTTTTCGGGAAAACTTGCCAGCGCTGATCTCTACGGCTGGGTCAGGGCCGTTCCGCATTCTGAGCGCAGACGGTGAGGGCCCACCAAGCTCAAAAAGAAAAAAAAACCTTTGCCTACAGACACTGGTTACAAAATGTTTCCCCGGAATCACAACACACAGGCTGTGTCTAGCCTGACCAGTTTTTCCAGAAAATCAGCCGCTTTTCCGGAAAAACTTGCCAGCTGTCTACACTGGCCACTTGCATTTCCACAAAATCACTGACTTCCTACTGAAAGAAATCAGGGCTTTTTGTGGAAATACTGTGCTGCTCCCGTTCGGGCAAAAGTCCCTTTTGGGCAAAACTTTTGCGCAAAAGGGCCAGTGTAGACAGCTCAGATTTGTTTTGCGCAAAAAAGCCCCGATGGCGAAAATGGTGATCGAGGCTTTTTTGTGCAAAAGCACGTCTAGATTGGCACGGACGCTTTTCTGCAAAAAGTGCTTTAGCGGAAAAGTGTCCGTGCCAATCTAGACTCTCTTTTCCGAAAATACTTTTAAGGGAAAACTTTTCCTTTAAAAGCATTTCCGGAATATCATGCCAATCGAGAAGTAGCCACAGAGTTTGGGGAATCGCTGCCCCCATCAAGTGATTTGTATCCCTGAAACCTCCGGGGTGAGCACTTAAACCCCCCGCAGGGGCACCCCAAGCTCTGTTGCCCTAAAGGAGCTTGAAAAAAGAAAACAGGCAAACAATCTGCAGTCTCTCCTAGCTCACCTCTCAGTCGGAGGCCTGCAGATACACAGACAGGCCTTCCAGGACTCAAGAATCAAATTGTCACCTAAAAAAAGTGAGTTTTATTACAAAACAGAAGAGAAACTTGAGACACCCGCGTCTACACGTGGCAGAGAAGCGGGGTTCCGAATTAGTTCAAATGAACCATTAAACTTCATTCCACGAGGAGTAACAGTTAAGTCGAACTAAGGGGTTTATCTCGGAATCCCGCTTCTCTCCGTGTGTAGACGTGGGCAGTTACTTCAGGCTGGTCAGTGTCCAAAATGGCGACGGCTGGGAATATATTAATCAAGCGTGGGACATTTAAATCCCGTGCTTCATTACTAATTTCGGTCGTCCTCATTAGCCTCCCTAGTTTGAACCAGGCAGCTCGTACCCTTATTTCCTTCTAATTTCTCGTTGCTCAGTCCTCTCCTATGCCCTGAATTCCTCGGAGGCCTGG